TTGAGTCACATGGGCCTTGGCCACGCCTCTATTTCTTACTGGATTGTCGTTTTGCATATCCTCCACGTTGCCAGTGTTTGAAAGCTTTCATATGTTGAATGTCATCACCTGAACTATTGAGTTTGTATAGCTGGTCATCGATCTGTAATTTGTCTAACTTCAATATGGCGAATTTATCCTCTGATCTGGCCTTGTCCATAAATGGTTTCAGTTTTTTACGGGTAAGCCGAACTTTCTCACTATAGTCTTATGATATACGGATAGGAGATTCCTTTAAGCACTTTGATGCTTGCAGGATAATCATTTTCTGTCTAAAGTCCTTCAACGTTACAAGAATAGGCCGGGCCCCAGGGGATTTAGACGGAAGACGTTTTACACGTTCAATGTCAACAAAGTGAGTAATATGCATGGTATTTTCAAGAACATCGGTTACCTTGCTTGTCGTTTTACCGTAGGGCTCCTTGGCTGATTCGTCGATGTTAAAGAATCTAAGGTTGTTCTGTCCTGAGGTATTTTCCGACATATCCACCTTCGTGAGTAGACTATCAACTGTATTACGTAGTTCAACATTCTCTGTGGTAAGTTCGTTCATGGTATGTTCAATGGCGTTGATTCGGTTCGTAAGTTTTGCCAAGTTTTCGTTTATCTCGGTCCGCATCTCTTTTATTTCTTTCATTACCTCTGAAATCTCCCTCTAATGTGGTCTGTTTCGTCGGTGGGCCAGGATTCTGCTCAACGTCATTAGAAAGTAGTAACAGCAACGAGAGGAACAAACAACTTTTCGACTTCTTTCAGGGTATATTCCTACTCGTTCATCAAGAGAAAGAAGGAGTAAGAATATCTTCCGTTTTCCTCATAATGACGAAATTGACATCCATAAATTTTCACCTTTCATAAAAACTTGTCCTTAACGCAAGTCGGTAGCAAAAATACGTACTCGTGATAAATCGTCAACGGGCGTGTGCATGTGTCTCATAGATCTGCTACAAATGGTATGTTATAATTAGGACTGCACGGTATTACCGGTAGACCGGTATATCACAATGCGCTTTTCAAACGATACGTATTGCAATATTTGTGCTGAGAACCGGTATATTGAGTAAAGAACATATTAAAGTTTTTGTGATTATCTTTATGGTTTATGTTCATATCTATACAGACTTTCCTACACAACGGATGTTTCCCTTCGTTATTCAATGACAAAACAGCATACTGTAATGCAATCAATTGTATAAAACGTAAACAAAATCCCTGACTATGTAACCTAATTGAGAGATTGCTGTTATCAGAACCATAACATATATGTGTGTTGCCATTCATTTGAACCATTGTTTCATTAATGTGGAGATTGCCAAAGGTGGTTTACTTGAGGTCCTTGTCATACCTTGTCTATTCAATACATCGTTGCAACATTGTCAGCATGGTTATTGTGTAACAAGCTGACTTGTCCGGCATTCCGAGGAACTCTTAACATGTATGAGTTGATATAGACGTCTAATATGTAAGACCCACATCTACCTCAGGCTATACATGGAACGACGTCTAACTAAAACCCTATAAGCTATTCTATGTTTTACCCTGTTGGAAGACTGACCAGGTCTGAGTGAAGGAAATCACCCTGTCTGGGCTGGTGTGGTTACTGTGTCCACTCTAACACACACCGACATAGACGAGCAGGTTCACCGGCAGCGGCAGAGGCAGCAGCAGCAGCGGCGGCGGTAGTCTACTTAGATTACACTGAATAGAGGCTTTATTGAACTAAATGGGCCTTATCTAACAAGACATAAATGTGAAGAGATTCTATTAGGTCCGGAACCTCCATACACCAATCCATTATGACTTTTTGTTTCTCTCCCTAATACTATAAACAGGATATTTGGATTAATCTCAAAAGAATGTAATGTGAAGTCAGATTACTTACTCGTACATGTCCATGGACTTCATAGTTATAGGACTTTAGTCATTACGGCCATGAATGTCAGATTCAGTACAGGGGATTCAGAAATATCTGCCTCATTTATCTAATCATCCACCATCTACCCTGCAATTCAACAAAGAGCTTTGAGGAGATCATTTAAGTTGTAAAAAGTATTTGATTATACATAAGAATGTTGCTTTTACTTGAGATCGGGAATGGTTATGTAATATGAAAGGCATGGCAATTTACGCGCTCAATCTGACATTAGAATATCGACCTTTATGTAGCTTTGAGAGTTCAACTTGGGAAGGACATGTATAATGGACAAAAAAGGTTTCAGAGGATTCGCTATAGTCAGGTCGTTTACCATTTATTTGTCATAAAACTTTGTCCAACTTGCGTCTCTGCCAGTAATTATCGGTGATCACTATGGGGGAAAGGACAGGGCGACGTTTGTGTTTTTCACGGTCGCTTGATGTGGTTGTAGATATAGATGGGCCCATGGTCATCACAGTTGTCTGCCCTTGATCCACATGTTATCTGTCTGGGCGCATAATCAAGACTGACTTTTAAAACTTTAAAACTGAGTTTTAAACTTTCTGTGTTGTGCTCGAGGCGCGCATTTAAGTTATATATTTGGGCTTTATCACCATTAATGACAGAATACTCTATGTGATGCTTGATGGATGGTAACACAACAACGTATGGTATGGATTTACAACTTCCGTATTATTTTCAACACGGCGTTTCTGGGCTACTTCTTTCCCCTTCTTCAGGTGAATGCCAAAATATGATTTACAAACAAAATATATAGTGCGTATAGGAGGCCAGCGAGATGGGATTACGGATTGAGATGTACAGAGATCAAGGGGATTAACTGATAAGTTTTGATTGAGATGCTTCAGGTTTCGCGCGGTGGATCCAGATGGCTTCCATCAATGTTCTGTCTCACCAATCGCTGATGTTGACGGCCAAAACGTCAGTGTCACGCTAGTAGGATGGGGTGGTCAATCTCGTTGACTTAGTTGTTTCATATCATCATATCCCAACTACGTAGACTGATGCTCCTGATATCAGTCACAGGATCGTCTGGTCCAGATCTGACTATTTGAAGACCGCCGTCTTGTAGCTTAGCGTGACGACAACAAACTAGCATGTTCTACTGGAAGTGTGGAAGATACCTATGTGTCAGTGCTGGAAGCCGCATCCGACGTTTTACATGATACAGTGTATATTTCTATATTTGATGTTGAACTCAGGGTTGACATGTTTACTGACGTACCATTGATGTCATCTGTTTGTTACATCACGCCGTGATGCACACAATCGGTTAGACAATATGTGTCAATCTTTAACACAGACGCTTTGTCATTTCTGAACGTTTTTCATAAACATAAAGATGAGGCGTCTCTTGCAGAAATGCACCCAAAGCGACATGTAAGACGACCAAACAATGTCATGATGATAAGCAATAACATGAATTGAATGGATTATCGTACAACGTTCGGAAAAAAAGCGAAAACAGTAATACTGGAGGACATCATGGGATTTAATTCTGAGTTTATCCAACTCAATCATCTTGACATAAGACCATGTGCACCTCCCCATAAGTGTTGTTCTTGATCTTACATCATGTGATAACATCTGAAACATAGTGGTGAAACAGGGCAGGGGAACTATGTTTTACATCTCAGGGTCAATAAGATGAAACTAGAAAATGTGTATTCCGGTTAGATTTAGAAGGAGTTATGATTTTACCGATCCCCTTTCCCCCGACGCACAAACGAAGGATCTACATTAATCTCGCCACAGAAAGTGGAAGTGGCCAGTATTTGCTGGCGTGTCTCTTGTATAGTCGTTGGTATTGGTGCATGATGACATTGCCTAGACTCCTGGCATCGACACTGTTGTTTCACGTTCTAGCTCAGGTTCCAATACAAATACCCGCACAATTGACTGGATCAGCTGTGTTTGCCAAGCCATGAAACATGTGATAACAATAGAATGTTTTTGCATGCAGAATATAACCTCATTAGTGATACCCAGTACAGACACAGTAGTGTTGAGGAGAAAAACCAAGTGACAGGTTCCAAGGCAAGATGAAGACGTGAACGCTGGAGAACAATCAGTCTCGCAAAATATTCATTGAAGAAGTGAGTGTTTGCATTGCTGCTGCCGAAAGAAGGGGTCTGGGATTCGTGGAGACTGTGCCCTGATGTGTTGAAGGTGTGTAAACCCGTGGAGCAGCTTTGTGTCTTGGCTCATTCATGAAGGAAGACCCTGTGAGTGGATGCCTAACGTTGCGTCTATGTCATAATATGTTTGCTTGTGTAAAACCGCCGTCCTCAGCAACACTCCAGCCATATGGTCTGTAATAACCGAGTCTGGACCAGACAATCCAGTGATCAACATCATGGGCATCGATCTGTGCAATTGGGATACGATGACATGTGTCAACGCAACCAAGTCAGCGATCCTGACTTACGACAAGTATGGGTTGCTGAAGACCAATTCTAACCGGGCCGTCAATGCCATAAACGTTGTTAATATCATAGGCGAGCGACAGGGAAATATTAACAGCTAGTTTGTTTTGTACAATCAGCAATTGTTCCGAAGAGAACACACAAAAATCAACGTTGTATTCCTTCCGTTTTGCAGTTAGCAAATGGTCTTCCATATAAAGTGATTAAACATTATCGTTTTGATCATATTATTTCAGGTAAATTTGACATTCCAAAACAACTTTGATTATGAGATATTTAATGTGTTATGGCTGTATCAAAGGTCAGTTGAAGCCGCCACACTATCGACCTTTGAAATGTGATAATCATTTCCGGAGTCTGGCTGTGAGCTCCTGTGTCTATCGGGCGGTGGAGTAGCCTAGTGGTTAAAGCGTTGGCTCGTCACGCCGAGGACCCGGGTTCGAATCCCTACATGGGTACAATGTGTGAAGCCCATTTCTGGTGTTCCCCGCCGTGATATTGCTGGAATATTGCTAAAAGCGGCGTAAAACCAAAACTCAGTCAGTCAGTCCTGTGTCTATCAGCTCCTGTGTCTGACTGTGAGCTCCTGTGTCTATCAGCTCCTGTGTCTGACTGTGAGCTCCCGTGTCTATCAGCTCCTGTGTCTGACTGTGAGCTCCTGTGTCTAACTGTGAGCTCCTGTGTCTATGAGCTGCTGTGTCTGACTGTGAGTTCCTGTGTCTATCAGCTCCTGTGTCTCTATGAGCTCCTGTGTCTATCAGCTCCTGTGTCTGTGACTGTGAGCTCCAGTGTCTATCAGCTCCTGTGTCTCTATGAGCCCCAGTGTCTATCAGCTCATGTGTCTAACTGTGAGCTCCTGTGTCTCTTTGAGCTCCAGTGTCTATCAGCTCCTGTGTCTATCAGCTCCTGTGTCTATCAGCTCCTGTGTCTAACTTTGAGCTCCTGTGTCTCTATGAGCTCCTGTGTCTATGAGCTCCTGTGTCTATCAGCTCCTGTGTCTAACTTTGAGCTCCTGTGTCTCTTTGAGCTCCTGTGTCTATCAGCTCCAGTGTCTTTTAGCTCCTGTGTCTAACTGTGAGCTCCTGTGTCTCTTTGAGGTCCAGTGTCTATCAGCTCCAGTGTCTATCAGCTCCTGTGTCTAACTGTGAGCTCCTGTGTCTCTATGAGCTCCAGTGTCTATCAGCTCCTGTGTCTAACTGTGAGCTCCTGTGTCTCTATCAGCTCCTGTGTCTATCAGCTCCAGTGTCTGACTGTGAGCTCCTGTGTGGCTCCTGTGTGTGGTGAGTTCAGCAGCTATAGATAATGGTAACTATGTATTTGTCTGGCCACAGTTTTTACATATAGGTGTAACGATGCTAATCTGCCTCATAGAACGTTCACACAGACAGTGTTATCTTTCAACTACCTTCACCAAATGAAACAGTGTCTTTCCCCGGTACTAGTTAGGATTTATAACACTGTTCGATAGGTTGGTAGTTTGTAGTTTGTGGATTTTGAAACAATAAAATCTTTGTTTTTTAATTTACCAACGTAATTTGTATTTGTAGGTTTTTCATATGATTGTTTGACAGAAGTTTTGATATTTTTATTCTTCGCTCATGATTACTCAGCAGTGTTTAAATGTGACAGTTTGTCTAGTGATGAAGTTATAAATATGAGGACAATGATGGATTTACTTTGGATATATTGGTTTATGAAGATGGATTATCACACTTACACCCCTTCCAACGTGCATCAAAGGGGGTTGTTTTGTGAAAAGGATATTGTACTGTCTGTTACTAATAACTCTGGGACTAACCCAACAAGAAGCTTCATATTCACTTCTTGAAAATGGTTAAATATGGAAACAAATGAATGATATTTGACAACACATAAGCTCTCTACGTTTTCACAAATGAAATATATGTGATCAGGTAACACATAGCCCCTCTACTCTTTCTTAAAATGAAATATATGTGACCAGATAACACATAAGCACTCTACTCTTTCTTAAATGAAATATATGTGATCAGGTAACACATAAGCCCTCTCTACTCTTTCTTAAAATGAAATATATGTGATCAGGTAACACATAAGCCCTCTACTCTTTCTTAAATGAAATATATGTGATCAGGTAACACATAAGCCTCTCTACTCTTTCTTAAATGAAATATATGTGATCAGGTAACACATAAGCCCCTCTACTCTTTCTTAAATGAAATATATGTGATCAGGTAACACATAGCCCCTACTCTTTCTTAAATGAAGTATATGTGATCAGGTAACACATAAGCCCTCTACTCTTTCTTAAATGAAGTATATGTGATCAGGTAACACATAGCCCTCTACTCTTTCTTAAATGAAATATATGTGATCAGGTAACACATAAGCCCTCTACTCTTTCTTAAATGAAATATATGTGATCAGGTAACACATAGCACATAAGCCCCTCTCTACTCTTTCTTAAATGAAGTATATGTGATCATGTAACACATAAGCCCTCTACTCTTTCTTAAATGAAATATATGTGATCAGGTATCCTCTCTACTCTTTCTTAAATGAAGGTATCACACATAGCTTCTCTACTCTTCTCTACTCTTTCTTTCTTAAATGAAATATATGTGATCAGGTAACACATAGCCCCTCTACTCTTTCTTAAATGAACTCTTTCTTAAATGAAGTATATATGTGATTATGTAACAATATATGTGATCAGGTAACACATAAGCCTCTCTACTCTTTCTTAAATGAAGTATATGTGATCAGGTAACACATGGCCTCTCTACTCTTTCTTAAATGAAGTATATGTGATCATGTAACACATAAGCCCTCTACTCTTTCTTAAATGAAGTATATATGATCAGGTAACACAAAGCCTCTCTACTCTTTCTTAAATGAAATATATGTGATCAGGTAACACATAGCTTCTCTACTCTTTCTTAAATGAAATATATGTGATCAGGTAACACATAGCCCCTCTACTCTTTCTTAAATGAAGTATATGTGATCATGTAAAACATAAGCACTCTACTCTTTCTTAAATGAAGTATATATGATCAGGTAACACAAAGCCTCTCTACTCTTTCTTAAATGAAATATATGTGATCAGGTAACACAAAGCCTCTCTACTCTTTCTTAAATGAAATATATGTGATCAGGTAACACATAGCCCCTACTCTTTCTTAAATGAAGTATATGTGATCATGTAACACATAAGCCCTCTACTCTTTCTTAAATTAAATATATGTGATCAGGTAACACATAAGCCCTCTACTCTTTCTTAAATGAAATATATGTGATCAGGTAACACATAGCCTCTCTACTCTTTCTTAAATGAAGTATATGTGATCATGTAACACATAGCCCCTCTACTCTTTCTTAAATGAAGTATATATGATCAGGTAACACAAAGCCTCTCTACTCTTTCTTAAATGAAATATATGTGATCAGGTAACACAAAGCCTCTCTACTCTTTCTTAAATGAAATATATGTGATCAGGTAACACATAGCCCCCTACTCTTTCTTAAGTGAAGTATATGTGATTCTAATAAAATGTATAATGGAGAAGCAGCCTTTCACTTTCAGCAACTGTCACGTGATGTCGAATAAAACAAGGATGTTATTATGCTTCTTGCAAACTCCATTAAGACTGTTATTGCAGCTCGGTTACAATCATCTTATTACAAATACAAAAGACTTTTCCGTCAAAATAGATTGTTGTCTCTGTTTGAAAAGGCAAGTCCTTGTTTAGCCCTCCCCTATAATACTGATTCCCAGCTCAGTACAAGTGATTGCTTGGTAAATGCCTTGAGTAGCACCTATCGAGCACCTGTCGGTTAGGTGCAAGGTTAAACAACCTAGGTCAATCCAACCTGGGCCAAGATGTGAGACTGAGTTACATCTAAGACTCCTGTAATTAGAATCAGTGGAAGCTTGCCAGCATCTGCCTCGTCTATCAGATCCCCTATTGTGTTTCTGGGAAATGAGTCTCAAGTTATCGGAGAAGAAGGATACTCTGGCAGATCGTGGCTGATGCTGACGTCCAGGCTTTCTGCTTGATTGGACATCAAAGTCGACGCCATGGATAACGGTCAAATAAATGTCTGGTCGCAGTTGATTCTCTTGAGTGGAGGCGTTCATTTGTTTATTGTTTTGTTTGGACGGAAATAGCGCAACATTGTTGTTTTGTTCCAACACAAGCCTGTGGCCACCAACATCTCGTTACACCGGTTTCAGTTACCCAGACACTTCAGTGTTGGAGGTGAGCGCGATGCTACGTGTGTCCTAGAAATAGAACAAACGGGAACACCACAACCATAGGTACATATCAAGTGTAGACTCTTGTAGTCCAGCGTGTCCTGAATCAGCTAAGGGACGCAGCTCTATACAGTGAATTGGTGTGCATTAGATATTAACCATACAACCTCACTTATCGATATTAACATCTTTTATATCATGTCTTCATCTTGAATATTAATATAGGGTTGTAATGTATAGTTTCAGGGCTTATCACCATCAGGTCTACTTTCTGTGGGGACAGCACAGATATGCTGATAGATGACGGTTATGTGATTAAACGTTTGAATGATAATATGTTTGACATTATATATGTTCTTGGTGTGATAAACCTAGGAATGACACAATAAGTACAGGGATGACACCATGAGTACAGGGAAAACACCATGAGTACAGGGAAGACACCAAGAGTACAGGGATGACACCAAGAGTACAGGGATGACACCATGAGTACAGGGAAGACACCAAGAGTACAGGGATGACACCATGAGTACAGGGAAGACACCATGAGTACAGGGAAGACACCATGAGTACAGGGAAGACACCATGAGTACAGGGAAGACACCATGAGTACAGGGAAGACACCAAGAGTACAGGGATGACACCATGAGTACAGGGAAGACACCATGAGTACAGGGAAGACACCATGAGTACAGGGAAGACACCATGAGTACAGGGAAGACACCATGAGTACAGGGAAGACACCAAGAGTACAGGGAAGACACCATGAGTACAGGGAAGACACCATGAGTACAGGGATGACACCATGAGTACAGGGGACAGACACCATGAGTACAGGAAGACACCATGAGTACAGGGATGAGACAACATGAGTACAGGGAAGACACCAAGAGTACACGGATGACACCATGAGTACAGGGAAGACACCATGAGGACAGGGAAGACACCATGAGTACAGGGAAGACACCATGAGTACAGGGATGACACCATGAGTACACGGATGACACCATGAGTACACGGATGACACCATGAGTACAGGGAAGACACCATGAGTACACGGATGACACCATGAGTACAGGGAAGACACCATGAGTACAGGGAAGACACCATGAGTACAGGGAAGACACCATGAGTACAGGGATGACAACATGAGTACAGGGATGACACCATGAGTACAGAGAAGACAACATGAGTACAGGGATGACACCAAGAGTACAGGGATGACACCATGAGTACAGGGAAGACACCATGAGTACAGGGATGACACCATGAGTACAGGGATGACACCATGAGTACAGGGAAGACACCATGAGTACAGGGATGAGAACACCATGAGTACAGGGGAAGACACCATGAGTACAGGGATGACACCATGAGTACAGGAGAGACACCATGAGTACAGGGATGACACCATGAGTACAGGGGATGACAACATGAGTACAGGGATGACACCATGAGTACAGGGAGAGACAACATGAGTACAGGGATGACACCAAGAGTACAGGGATGACACCATGAGTACAGGGAGAGACACCATGAGTACAAGAGACACCATGAGTACAGGGATGACACCATGAGTACAGGAGAGACACCATGAGTACAGGGATGACACCATGAGTACAGGGATGACACCATGAGTACAGGGGAAGACACCATGAGTACAGGGAGACACCATGAGTACAGGGATGACACCATGAGTACAGGGGAGACACCATGAGTACACGGATGACACCATGAGTACACGGATGACACCATGAGTACAGGAAGACACCATGAGTACACGGATGACACCATGAGTACAGGGGAGAGACACCATGAGTACACGGATGACACCA